TAGCTTGGTCAAAACCAAAATAATAAAACATACTGCATAGTTCTATAGACTTTGTAGCTTGGTCAAAACCAAAATAATAAAACATACTGCATAGTTCTATAGACTTTCTAGCTTGTTCAAAACGAAAAATAATAAAACATACTGCATAGTTCTATAGACTTTGTAGCTTGGTCAACTCCAAAATAATAAAACATACTGCACAGTTCTATAGACGTTTTAGTTTGGTCAAAGTGGTATAATAATATTGTATACTTAATTCGAGATATTTCTACACCGACAATCAAAAAGTATTATAAAAACAACATTAAAAGAATGTTCCATAAATAGATTGTTCATATAAAGCTCATATAGTTAGATTGTTTGTATAAATCTCATAATATCATATTATTCGTATAAAGCTCATATTGTTAGATTGTTCGCAAAAAGTTCATACTGTTAAGAACGTTCGGATGAAACTCATATTGTTAAATCATTTGTATAAAACTCATATTGTTGTTTATGGATATTTATAATTCAAAAGTTCTGTGCAGTTCAATTTTGGTTGATTGATCAAAACATTGCATCAGTTATTAGGTCGTCAAGAAATTAATGTCGCTTTTTATTAGGTGAAAAAACCCGAACAACTTATATATCAAAACAAAACAATTATTAAATGAAATAGTCTCCATTCTTATCGATGATGCTTTTTCATCTTACAATCAGGTTGTTGATGCCATGATTAAAAAAATGATTGGGTTTTGAAGCAAAAAACATGTCGATGTACTCATTAACATCTTCCACAAATGCATACGTTTTCTCATTAAGATAATGTTGCAGCGAACGAAAAAGTTGATAATCTGATGGTGCCATATCTGGAGAATCTAGTGGGTGGGGGAGAATTTCCCAACCCAACTCCATAATATTGTGTTATGTCAAACGTGCCACATGTGGACGTGCATTTTCATGGAAAAGAACACCTTTCCGATTGACGAGTGAAGGGCGTTTCTGATGAAGGGCTTGATTTCAACGTTCAAGTTGCTGACTATAGATCTCTGCATTGACAGTTCGCTGTGGATTGAGGAGTTCGAAATGAATCACACCTCTGTTGTCACACCAAATGCAAAGCATCAATTTCGGCGGATGGAGTCTACGTTTTGGGGTCGAAAGTGGTTTTTGTCTAGGACTAAGCCATTGTTTTTGGTGTTTAGTATTCGCATAGAGAATCCATTTTCATCACCGGTGACAATTTTGTCCAAAAATGGTTTACGCGCATTACGCGCCAGAAGAGACGAAGCAACGTTCACACGTTAGAAACGATGATTACTGGAGAGTTCGTGAGGCACCCAAACACCTTCTTTATGGAGTTTTCCTATATTCCTTAGATGATTACGTATTGTTTCACGAAAGACATGTAATTTCAGGGCCATTTCACGAGTGTGTTGCCTAGGGTTAGACTCAACAAGCGTCTTCAGAGCATCAATATCAATTCCAAGAT